TCCGTGCTTTTTTACCTAAACATCTTGTATACTTTTGAATGTGATGGGATGCAAACATGAAAAGCTAGCCCCGCACTCATGGCTAATTAAAAAAGTCATTTTCATAAATAGATGCTTATGGAATACAATCACTCTTGTGGTTTAAGGGACGCAAACAGGCCGAAAAAAGTGTTGGTTCGACCTTGTTTTAGCAACTTAGCAGTTGTGACTTTGTGTTTAAGATGGGGCCTCTCACTGACGATGCCGGAAAAACGTTTGGGAATGTACCAAGTCAATGGTCTAATGCTGGAAATCACGAATACTATTGCAGAGGACACGGGATTAGGTACATTCCACAAGGTCTCCCTGACGTCCCGACCAAGTTGCGAAAGCAAGGTCAAGCCAACACTATAAAGCTAAAGTAGACTGCGACCAAACAGAAGGCCACATCACCTTGGTCTATAAATCTATGCCAAAAAAATTTGCATAGCAGACAAAAAGTAGAACATATTGTAGGTGAGTGAGGAAGAAAAGAGAATGGAAATACACAGATTGATTTTTGACATTTACTTTCAAGGGATGTGCATTCTGAGCTTACGAGTACAAGATGAGAAGTTAAAAAAAACTTGTATCAAAATACAACTGCTAAACATCCACACGTCTCTTAGCGTAGAGCTAGGCCGTATTAAAATCTGGCAAGGCAATTCCCGTGATATATGAGATATATTCCCTTTATTTCGTTTAAGGCAGTTGAATTTTCCCAGAAGATATTCTCATTCATGGTTCGAGTCCCTCTAAGGGTGTTTAGGAGATCAAGATGAGGTCGAAACTGCACTCCAATCTTGCCCGGATGAAAATACCTTTCGGGAAGCAAGGCTATACTAAATTCAATGAAAATGTAAGGTCTGCTCAAAGTATTGTTGGAAAATTAAACTATCATTCCCCTTATAAACTTAAGTGAAATAGGATGAATACAGCTCATATATATGACCTACTGGTAGCCTTGGAAACCTGCCAATAAAACGAAAAATTTACCTGACACCCCAGAAGGCCCGGGCGGCTGTTGTCGCATGACATTAGGTAAACCAGCGCAGATGCGCCTCAGCTGCAGCTGCCCAACAGCCTGACTCGGTAAATATATAGGAAGTTGGGCAACTGGTGTAACCCCAGGGGCCACACCCCACACCTCACTTGTCCCGATAAACGCATCATTCGTCTCCTCCCCATCAGTGTCGTCGTAATCCGTGGTATTCTCGCCCTCATCATCTTCCTCATTTTCCTCATCTCCGTCATCTTCAGTTTCATTTGTATCACTTGTGGCTATATTTACAGATGACCTGAGCTGGTTGATACAATCCACGCCGATCAAGTGGATTGGCCCTCGACCCGTGATTTGTATATCGCCTTGATGTCCTCTGACAGTAGGAGCTCCTACATTTTTGTCAACTCCCTCACCTCCACCAGTACCACCATCAACATGAACGGCGGTGTTGGAGCGTTTGATGTGATCATTGTAGCGACCTGTAGAACTGCTGACCATTTCAAGTCCGCCTGCGCCGGCCCAGCTAAGTCCAGCTCGCCGGGGGCGTCGACGTCGTGGGCGACCCTGTGCCGAAGGTCGTGCTGCTTCACGAAGACTTGTCATTGCGCCAGAAACCAGATCCAGTACTCCCCCCAGTGGTTTTGCCACAGTACCGAGCATGCCACGACCAACACCAAAAATGAAGCCCTAGGAAACAAAATTCCTCATTAACTGGGTTCCAATATATATATATATATATATATATATATAAATGATGATGAAAATCTAGAAAATTGGGGAGTATACTCAGATCAACTAACAGGATGTAAAGCATTGACCAATGCATTGTGCACCTTCACTCGTAAACGTCACCTTTTTAGTCGTTGTGGAGACCAAGATGGTATGGCCCCTAGTTTAGTAGCAGTCTCCTTTCTCTGTATAGCAATGGTTTGAGCTTGTTTTCTCAATTTAATCGTTTCTTCATGGAGACATGGACGAACTCATCTTGTATCGAGTCTTCTGCCATACTAGTCATGATAATTTTCAGTTTA